TGGGGAACACAAATCAACCCACAGCTGGGATGTCAGAGAAGGTACCAAGACTCAGAAAGGCAGGGGCATGAGCAAGGAGGGCAGAAAGGACCACGGTCAGGACCCTGGGAAAAGCCCAGGTGGTACCCTGCTCTCAAGCCCAGGCCTTGAGCTGTGCACCGAGCAGCAAGGTTGCAAGGTCAACTACTTGAACGAAGTGATGGGGTTCTCGGCACCACGAACCCAGGACAGCAAATGAACCGCTCCTCGTGAACAACTCATCTGTGAGCAGGGGCCTGGGCAAGGGGTGTTGGCACACTGCCAGCAGGGCCACACAGTCAGAAGGGGCCCTGCAGGAAGGAGGAGCTGGGCCCTGCTGGGGTCTGGGAAAGGATCCTGCTCCTTCTGCAGACTCGCATTCTAGCCCCCAAGGGCCCAACCTGTGAGCTCCTGAGCCCATTTAGTGGTGCCCCCACCCCCAATTTGCAGCTGCCGCCGGGCTGGGCCCTGTTGTCTGGAGGAACAAGGACGCTTCCCCCCTTCCCCCCATACACACTCACCTTTTCCGGAGACTGGCCAGCAGAAGGGGCCAGCCACCAGGTACCATGGGGACTGATCCGGACCCTCACCCCAGAAGCCACTTCCACCCCCGCCCCAGTCCTATTCTTCCACTCCCACAGGGAGCTCAGGTCAGGGCCGGCAGCCCTGGCCGACAGGGCCCAGGATATGGGCAGGAAGGGCAGCAGCTGCCGGAGGAGACCCGAGGAGGGAGGCCGGAGACAGAAGTCACGCATGAGAAGGCTGTGAACAGGTATTTACTGAACTCTACTCTGCAAGGCACTGCGCCAGACGTGGAAGGGGAAGCGGCCGCGACAGGCCACCCTGTCTTCTAAGAGCTCACAGTCTAGTGGGGGAGGGGGCAGGGAGAAGCCAAGCCCACAAACAGCTCTAGTGTCAGGCTGAGTATAGTGAGTGCCATTAAACAGACAGGTTAACAGGAGTAGGAAGGGACCAGGAAAGGAAGCCCACCACCAACCAACCGGGCACAACAGAGCCACTGCCCCAGCAATATGCACACCACGCGGAGAGCGAGGCGGGAGCGGCCGTGAACCCCCCGACTAGTAACCCAGCAGTTCCCACCCACCCCGCCGGCTGAATACAGCAACACTTCCCAAACCCAGCCCAGGGTGGGCTGTGCGCTAACTCACTACGGATTCAAATACAGACCCGACACCCACACAGAAAATCTGCGGCCACACAGTGAGACGAGAAGGCGTCGGCCATAACCCAGCTGAAGGAATGGAACACGCCACCACGCGTAAACACGTGATCATGACAGTCGGGAGGAACGCCAGTCACACAACACTGCTTCACCAGCAGAGACTGGCTCTGGACAGAGGGCAGAGAGACCTGCCGCCACTGGCTGACGGATATGGGGACCAAGGAGGACGAAGACCAAACCGGCCAGGCTGCCCTTGCTCTGGGAACTGAGCGGGAGTCCACAGATCTTCATGCGGTGCTGGCCCACGACGCGTCTCCCTCTTCCCTCCCACACCAACGGAAACATTCTGGCGGGGGGTCCTTGTTCACACTTCCGGGAATCTGAACAGGCCAGCCTCTCGCTCCCAGCCAGGGCTGATGACACGCTGCTCCCCGAGTTGGGTGTTTGGCTCTGGCTTAATTAACGTGGCCTGCAGGGGGTGGAGCAGGAGGGGGGTGCCGCATGGTACACAACATGGTCACAGGGCTGCGGGCAGGGCAGGCGCTGTGCCTCCTTGAGTACGATGCCACACCATGGGAGATGCCACTGCGGTTGGGCGAGAATTAGTCCAGAAATGCAAAAACTGGCATGACGTAACGGAGCGACATGGTTAACCTTAAGCAGCAGCCAAAACGGTAAACAATTACTTTCTTTTTGAAATTCCAACAAGTGTTCAAAACTCTAGGAAAAGCAACGGACGACTCCTTGCTCACAGGCGCCCGCGTCCGCGTCCCCACTGCTCTGCACTGCCCTCGGCAGAGGAGTTTCTGTGATTAGGAGGCAGAAAGAAATGAGGTAGATACGCCAATGCATAGGCAGCACGCACACAACTCAGCGCCTCTCTCTCTGCGCCTGACGGCTGGACACCTGGGGAATCCAGGAGGTCCATCCCTCCAACTACCAGAGGCAAAAAGCAATTCCGCACAACTACAGACACAAACGAAAGCTACCACCACAAAAAGCCATCCCGTCAACGGCGACGGAAAAGACACAGTCTTTAGTGTTAACTCCAAGGAGGGCGAGAGAAAACGAGGGCCCCGAACGGAGAAAAGCAGGAGGGCAGGAAGATGGCACTCCGGCCCCCGGCCCTACTTCCTCAAACTGACAGACACACGGCGGAGGCCAGGATGGCCGAGCACTTCTCATGGGTGGTCCAGCCTCGCCTCTGGCAGGTGCAACCATCCCTCACCACAGCAGCCGTACCAAACACGCAGTAACTTGAAGAGAGAAAACGGACTGAAGAAAGTGATTTCAGACAGATTCAAAACAGCTCTAAGAACAGAGACCCAGAGCAAAAATTTGCCATGTGCCAAGTGCTGCTGGCGTCTCTCCAGCACTGGCGTGGCATGGCCTGGCAGCCACCTGCATACACCTTCCGGCCAAAGTTGCAGCAGTCACTGAAGCGCTCCTAAACCGTGCCTGCCGGAAAGTTCCACCTCAAGCTTTTGGGGGACTGTGAGAAGGCCGGTTCGTCTTCAGGCTGAGTGGCCCACTTGGGCCTCTCTGTGGATCTTGCCAGCTGCTGGAGGGCAAGCTTCCTCGCCTAGCCTTTGCAGCCGTCACCCCAGTTGAGAGTTTTGACTTCTGGGCCGCGTGGGCCTCCAGAAGGCTGTGACCTCCCTCCAAACCCTTGCTTTACTGCCCTCTTGGGTATGGCTGCTGGAAGGGACAGCTCAGGCCTTCTGGGGCTAGCTGTTGGCACTGCCACATGGGCCAACACAGGGCCATGGCTCTTCTCTGGGAAGTTACATCCTGACACATTGGTGAACTGCTCCCTAGCTGCCCCAAGCCAAAGCCACCAAACCAACCTCTGTAGTTTTTGAGTCACTCGTTAGAAGAGGATGGTCTGTGTGGCAACATCAGTCAGGTGCATCTTCTTGTGTCCACAGAGAACTCTTGGGTGGTCCCTGGCTGGAGCAGTCACCAAATCTATGCTGGGCACTGCCAAGACCGCTGACCACCCGTTGTCCTAGGTGAAGTCAGGCACTGGTGCCGGCAGCCATAGAATGTTCTGGCCAATCCGTGGTGGAAGTATCTCTAGTGCCTGAGTGGCCAGGCTGCAAAGTCAAATACTGCCAACAATATCCACAGAGTCTACGTGATGGATGAGGAACGAGCCCGCTTCTCCGGCTCACTCTTGCCCATAGCCCACCCCCCTTGTGCAGCCTGCATCCCAACCTGGCTGCTTCCCCTTTGGGGGTCAGGGCTTTTAACTTTCAGTTTGTCATTAAACTTCCAGAAGATGTCATTGTATTTTTACTATTGCGATGGTGAGGCGATGAAAGTGATTACTTAACCAACAAAGATGAGTGAGTGGCGTTCAAAGCTCTCACAGCAAAAGTGTAATCAGACCGTTACAAACACCAAAACAATTCAAATGGGAAAAAAAAAGGACCACCATAATTGCTTTACGAAGAACTGCTCTAGAAAAGTCGATATATCCCAAGGTAACGCGGTAACTTGTCAAAGGAGATGAACGTCCAACTTGCATGCAGGACAAAAGAACAGGGATCTCAGTCCTCACTGGAGGGGGTGGGGTCAGAAGGACACATCGGCTGCGGCTGCCTCCCCGCACTCTGCGGGGCCGGCCACTGGCTGTCCTTAGCATCACTGGTGGGGTAGGTACAGTGCCCACGCCACATGACAGAGGAAATGGAGGGTGGAGCAAGTACCCCTGAAGCCCAACAGGATGCGAGGCTCTGGCTCCCCTAATCCTCTCTGCTGCAGGAGACCCATTAGCCCCAAACCACCCCAACCCAAACTGGCTTGGTGCACATTTAGGGGGTCATCAGAGTGAACTGGCGGAAGTCAGGACCACGGCCTCACGGCAACAAGCTGGAGATGCTGCAAGAGCGCCTTCAGAGGCCTATGAGAATGCAGCACCCCCAGCGCTTAGGACACAGCGCTCCAGGACAGTGAAGAGCAATGCGACTGACCGCTGGTCCTAACGCTAAGTGAACACGTACCAACGGGTTGGGGGGGGGAGTCCCAGCTTGCACCAGGCAGGGCAGCAACCGCCCCCACCTGAGCTGCGGGTCAACCACTCAGACAGAGGTGACCTGAGGGACCTTGGAAGGTCAGGTGACCCAAAAGTGGCACCCATTGGGGTGGAGACAGTGAGGCCACATATGCACAGGAGGGTTAGAGTAAAATCCACAAAACTGAGCTTGGGCAAAAAAGGGCGTGTTCCTAGAGGAATATATTATTCTCTGTCATGTGATTTACACTATGTACGTATAACTAAATTAATAAATTAAATAGCATAAAACGTTGACTTTTGTATTTACATCCCTCAAAATTTAGAAATTCAAGTAGGCCAAAAGGAAAAAGAAAGGTGGAGTGACCTCTTTGGGAAACAAAGGGGGAATCACATTTGATTGGGGTCGCCTTCTGCTTAGACCTTGACATTGACTGCTCAAGGTCACCTCCCAGCCCACCGGGCCTCGCTGACCTGGAACCTGCTCTCAAACCTCCCCACAGCTGTTTCACATCTCTGTGTTCTGGGCAGCTGACTTCCGACCCCTTTCCATCTGGGATTCGCGACACGCACGTTCAGATACCTGAAGGCCCTTTATGCAGAAGTAGCCAAAAGAACTTAAAATGGTCGAAGCTACTTGATGGACATCATGGGCAACACGGACACTTAGAAATTGCTGGTGGCAGTAGAAACTGGTTCAACCTTTTTGACAAGAAAATATATAAGCTACAAAACTGTTCATCTCCTTTGACTCGCGTGCAGAGCCCCAGGCTGGTGGCCCATCTACTCGCGGTGAACGGGCTGGTGCTTCTGCAAGGCAGAGCGTCGCTTGAACACGCGGCCGCACTCGCTGCATTCGCAGCGCCGCGCGCCGCTGTGGATTCTGCGGTGACGGCTCAGGCCGGAGCTCCTGCGGAAGGCCTTGCCGCACCGGTCGCACTCGTAGGGCTTCAGTCCGCTGTGGATGCGCCGGTGCTTGATGAGGTCAGAGGGCCCCCGGAAGGCCTTGCCGCAGTCGCCGCAGGCGTAGGGCCGCTCGCCCGTGTGGATGCGTTGGTGCTCCAGGAGGCTGGAGCTCTGCCGGAAGGCCTTGCCGCACTGGCCGCAGGCGTAGGGCTTCTCGCCAGTGTGGATGCGCCGGTGCTTGGTGAGCTCGGAGCTGCGGCGGAACAGCTTCCCGCAGTGCGCGCACCCGAACGGCTTGGCCCCGCTGTGGATGCGCTGGTGCTCTGCCAGGCCGGTGACCCCGCGGAAGGACTTGCCGCAGTCGTCGCAGTCGAAGGGCAGGTGGCCTGTGTGTGCGCACTGGTGTTTGACCAGCTCCTGGTGGTCCGGGAAATCCCTGCCGCACGCCCTGCAGGCGAACGGCTTCTCCGACGCGTGGAGCTTCTGGTGGCGGGTCAGGTGGGTGCTCACCTTGAAGGAGCGCCCACACTCCTCGCAACGGAACGGCTTCTCCCGGCTGTGCACCCGCAAGTGCTGACTGAGGCCTGCGTTCTTCTTAAACCGCTTCCCACATTCCTCACACTCGAACGGCTTCGCCTCCTCCCCCTCCCCCTCCCGCTGCTCCCTCTTCTCCACAATGGGGTCTTCGAGGGCCTGGCTCGGGCCAGGCTGCGGCTCCACAGCCACGTGGCTCTTCCTGTGCTCCCTGAATTCTGAGACGCCCCTGAAAACCTTCCCGCAATCTCGGCACTCCCAACCCGTCTCCTCACTGTGGATTCTCTGGTGCTGGACGAGAAGGACCTTCAGCCGAAAGGTAGCCCCGCACTCTTTGCACGCAAAGTGATGTTCTATGGGTGGATTCTGGGGGCCCCCTAACTTCTCAGTGTCCCCATTCTGTCTGACCTCAGGGCTGGGGTCACTGGCCCTGGGGGAGCTGGTGGATGGCATCTCAGGGGGCTGGGCGTCCTCTCCCGCTGTCTCCTGTTCAGTCGCCGAGAGGCTTTCTGAAATGAGAAAGAGCCCTCAGCCAAAGACTTCCCCTGCTTGGCTGGGTCTCCCCCCGATCCCATGTTTCTTTCTCGTCTTGCTCACCGGCATGCTCAGTGTGACTCGCAATGAGGGACGGGTCTGAGACCAGCAGCACTTGTCCTTGCACCTGGTGAGGGACCAAGGCCGGATTCAAGCCAGGAACTCCTGCTTGTGAAGAAAGCAATGGGTTAGGAGGTGGTATCACAAGGTCGTGCTCTTCCAAGTCCCCAACCCTCCTCCCCCCAGAGAACCCCCACCCCCAGAGCAGATCCCCGACAGTATTAAACGGAAAGAAAACGGCCATGCAACTGACCTCATCCACCCTTGGGTTTTTACAAAAGCCTTCTTAACTGCAGTACTGAACTCACAGTCCTTTGCCAACAGAAGAGCAATGCTTCTTAGGGGGCAGAGGCAAAGCCCTTCTTCCCGACTCTGGCAGCGGCAGACCCTCTGCTTTTCCCTACAGCTCATCCCTGGGGGGCGCAGGCCTTGTGTGGGCTCCACCAGGCACTCCCCATCCCATTCCTAGCCACTCAGGACCAAGAAGTTGGTGTTGAATGTGGCAGAGGGGCTGCATCCTTACCCACGGAGGTCACGTTGCCAAAGTAGTCCAGTGTTCTGCGCTCAGGGGCCAGCTGCAACCACTCCCTTTCTGTGAGGTACTGTTCCACACCATCGAATGCCACTGGATCCTGCAAAAATCCCCACAGACAATCAGCTCCTCCATCTGTTTCAGCTAGAGTCAGGGGCCTGGCGCAGCCTTGGAAGTCCTAGCAAGCCAACCGCCTAAGCTCCGGAGTGTGGACAGCAGCCCTGGCCTCCCACTGCCGTCTCAGGGGTCCCCGCTCACTCACTTTCCTGGCCTGAAACGCCACTCTCCCCCGCCCCCCGTACTGTGGGGACAAGCCTGGTAAGCATCTGTTCCTCGGCCGACTCCAGAGACGCGAAGGGCGGGAGGGCAGCGGGTGGGGGCCAGGCCCCGCCACGTGTCATGCTGGGCTAAGAGGGACGCTCACCTGGGCTGCCAACATCTCAAGCGGGACCGTCAGGACCTGGTCTCCCGTGACTCCGTCCTGGGGCAGGACAAGACCTTGGGGAGCAGGTGACGCTAAGGAGAGAGAAAAAAGCCATGAGTGACAGTTTTCTCCCTGTTTTTAAAATCCTGTCAAGTCTTCCCTTGCCTGGCAGCTGAGTGACCAGCCAGAGCGTGTGTATACCTAAGAAAACATAGCCAAACGCTGGAACAAGTGGGCTGGCGGAAAGTTGCTGAAGGCAGACCAGAGGGAGACAAGCCGGAGGCCCAGCAGCCTAGGCCCAGCAGGGACCAGACACACAGAGACAGGAGAGGCAGTGGGGTCGGGGACTGGCCCGTCCCAGTCCTCCTCCTAGCTGCAAGCCATGGACGGGCCAATGTTTTGAGGGAGAAACTCAAAACAAGTATCCCAAGAAGTAACTAGGAAATGAAAGTGCCTTCCTCGCTCAGCAGCGGTAACAAGACCGAGCAGACCACTGAGAGGGAGAGTAGCAGCCAAGAGCCAGGGCCGCGGGCAAGCTTCGCAGGTGAGAGCATTTCTTTCACACAGTTGACAAAAGCAGCAGCTGAACAAAACGGATTCTTCTAAGACTTCATAGCTGGGAAAATCAGCTTCAAAGAAAACACTTTCAAAACGAAGTTGCTAAATAAAAGATCAGAACAGTATGCACACATTCCTTCCAAACCACACAGCAGATGAAATGTCAGAAGATCCCACCAGGTCTGTGGATGCCCCCGCGGCCCCCGCCGCCGGCCCCCGCCGCAGTGAGATCAAAGGGACGGGAACATCTGGCTCCTGCCTGCGGCCAGGTCAGGTGGACTCACTCCTAATTAAATGAAGAGATAGCATTTTTGTTCCAGTTCAAGGGCTATGAAATCTACAATCTCCAGCAAGATTTTTCCATGAGATCAAAGACACTATTAAAATAGAGACATGGAGACGTCTACTTGCCACGGTGGAATAACCAGGACAGACTTAATGTCCTGCTATAAACAAGTACAAAATGTATCAAGCAACAGTTTCCAGACATCAGGATCCCTGAAAAAAAAGAAGAAAGAAAAAAAAAGGGACACAAATGAGGTACTACCTGTAATCATGCCAGCTCTCTGCCTGGAGGCAGTTTTTGGACCGAGAGAGTGTGTGTGTGTGTGGGGGGCAACTGAGCTCGGTGACTCCGTGTAGGAGACACAGATCAGCATTCAAGGACGCTGGGAGCGCTGAAGTTGCAGAGCAGAGCTCCAGAAAGGAAGGAACTATGCAGGAAAAAAGACCACCACAAAACCTTCATCAAAGCTCCCCCTCTCCTGGCTATTACAGAGTGAAACCCCACAAGGACTAGGAAGCTAGAAGCCAGGCAACAGCCAGGCCACACAAAGGTTCATGAGAAGTCCAAGGTCTGATCAACCAAAGTAGAGAGTTCTCAGTGATCACCTGGAGCACCGAGTAGAGAACCCAGAGGGGTGATGCCTTGGTAGTAGGGCTTACCTATCCCTGGAGCCAACACCACTAGCCTCAAAGGATCCAACTGATCCACAAATAACTGCCTCCTAAAACCAAATCTAAAGATTTCAAAGGAAGACATCCAGCAACCTAACACTGACAAAGTCCCCATCACAAATCACGGAAAGACCAAGTAGCAGGAAGATGTGACCCATGGCAAGGAGAAAAATCAGTTACTAGAAACAGACCCAGAAGTGATCAATGCTAGAATTAACAGACAAGGGTAACAGCTAGCTTACCTCCGTACAAGTATTTAAAGAAAACCAGGAAAAGAATGTAAAAAATGTATTCTCTAAAATGACAATCCCATGAGATGCGATTAACAGATTAGACACCACAGCAATAGAAACAATCCCAAATGATGAGGAGAAAAGTGTTTTTAAAAGCTCAAAAAGGTCTGTGATGTGAGGATGACAGAAATAACAGATAGGTGGAGTGTGAGACGGTAAGGAACGGGAGATGGGGAAAAGAAAAATCTATCTGAAGAAATAATGGCTGAGAATTCTCCCAAATTAGACATAAACAACAGATTCAAAATGCCCAAACCTTTAGCAAGATTAAAATAAACACATCATAATCCAATTGCTGAAAACAGTGATAAAAAGATAATCTTAAAGCAGCCAAAAAAAAAAAAAAGATATGGCACAGAAAATAATAGAAATAACCGGTATCTTTTTATTAGCAAATGCGAAAAGCCAGAAAACAAATAATGCTTCTACAGGGCTAAAAGAAGAAAAGAAAAAAAAAAAAAAACCTGCCAACCTACAAATATCCTTGAAAAATGAAGGCAAAATAAAACCTTCTGCAGACATACAAAAGCTGAGGGAATCTGCCACCTGTCCTACAAATATCCGGGGAAGTTTTTCAGATAGAGGGAAAATGAGACCAGATAGAAGCCTGTTGTTGTTGTTATGTGCCATCGAGTCAGACCTGACTCACAGCAACCCCTCCTTGGGTTTCCGAGCCGGTATCACTACAGAAGTCGATTGCCCAACCTTCCTTCCGAGGAGTGGCTGGTGGGTTTGAACTGCCAGTGTTCTGGTTAACAGTCAAGTGCCTTAGGCACTATGCTATCAGAGATCCTGACAGAAGCCTGGATCTACACAAATGAGGAAAGAACACTAGAAATGGTAAATATATGGAAAAGGAGAAAATACTTTTACGCCTTAATTTTTAAATCTTTAAAAAAGAGTTGACTGTTAAGCAAAAATCCTAACAAGGTGGCGTAGGGTTTGTAACATATGTATAGAAGCAAAACATATGACAATAGCACAAAGAATGGACAAAAAATAAAAAAAACCACCCACACTCACTGCTGTCGAGTCGGATCCGACTCATAGTGACCCCTCCTTGGGTTTCCAAGGCAGTATTTGAACCACCAGCCTTCTGGTTAGCAGTCAAATGCCTTGGGCACCACCCGCCAGAGTGCCTACAAAGAACGGAAGGGGGATGGAAGTATCTTGCTTTCAGGTTCTTACATTCAGGCCCCATCTCTGACCTAGTAAGTCAAAAACTCTGTTGGCAGAGCCCAGCAATCTGTGTTTGACTAACCCTCCGGGAGACTCTGATCCACACTAATACCCAGTAGTGGAGATAAACTGCAATACTAAAAAAATACTTAATCCAAAAGAAAAGTAATGGAAAATGCGAACAGATAGGACAAACAGAAAACAAAGAGCAAGATGACATTCTTAAATGCGACCATATATGTAATTAAATGCAAACGGACTAAACATTCCAATTAAAAGGTACAGACTGTCAGCCTTTATTGGAAATACAGACTCAACCATATGCTGCCTGGTTGTCGTTGTTTGTTGTTAGGTGCCGTCGAGTCGGACCCGACTCCCAGCGACCCCTCCTCGGGTTTCCAAGGCAGTGTCACTACGGAAGTAGACTGCCCCATTTTCTTTCCAAGGAGTGGCTGGTGGGTTTGAACTGCCAGCCTTCTGGGTAGCAGTCAAGTGCCTTAGGCACTACGCCACCAGAGCTGCCGCCTAGAGGAAACTTTAAACAGAAAAACACAGGTTAAAAGAAGGAAAATGACATTCTATTAAAGGGACTGACAGGAAATGTCACTGCCATAAAAGCAAGGGGTGAATGAAGAACGTGGCTCAGGGCTCTGGAGGGTGACATACAGCCGCTTACGAAGATACAAATCCTTCAAGATGACGCAGAGAAACACAGCAGACTCTGGAGTGAGACCCCAAAGAGGGTAAGAGAAGGGCAGAAGGCAGAGAAGTATGTATTTCTATCTTAGGAATAAGAAGAAAAATGCAAAACAGATGTGTAGCTTAAAAAAAGAAAAAGATAAGCCTACACCCACTGGGTTAGAGTCGAAGTCCCTTCAGTAACCAGGAAGAATTTCTTCAGTAATTAGAAGAGTTAAGAATTTTAAAAGATTTTAGTAGGCTTTGAATAAGAAAGTCGCTCACTATGAAAGAGGCCAAGGAGAAAATAGAGGACGGCCCTCGAAGCCAGGCAATGTTGGACGGGTGAACCTTGGCTGGCTTGCGTCAGAAGAGCAACACTTCCCAAGATGTCCATGTGGGAAAGCCAAGCACTGGGTGCCAATCAGAAAGACGGAACTGACTTCCTGGGCTGCTCCTCCTCCTCCGACTGTTGCCCACCGGGCAGGGGGCTGTGTGAGGCCCAAGCACACTGTGTGCCCATTCGCACTTGAACTGGCGCTCCCCCAACATGAGCTACGCTCAGGCAACTCGGGAGCCAAGACCTCGGACGCTCTAGGACAGGGCCTCCGTTTGGTAGCTGGACTCTTCCTGGTAGACACCTGATGTCTGGTTTGACTTTAATTAAAAACGTTCTTGTTATTATGTACTCATTTTTTTAAAAAATTCACTTCCAGCTGACCTTAACGTTTGCTGTCAAGTGGAATGAAGAAGAAAACACCGCATCACCTTCAGACAAATTTGGCTTTTTATGAACCTCTTCTCCTTGCCCTCAAGCCAAGATCTAAGGGCTTAACCCCCCTCCAAGCCCTGGCGAAGCTCACCCACCTCATATCCTGCCCTGACACCTCGATGTCACCCTGGCCTTCAATCACTCCCAGCCAGGACTGCTGGGCCCCAGCCCCACCCCTCCAACTCCAGCGCCGGCTCCACATTGCGGCCTCTCTCCAGTCCCATTCGTTTCCACGCAACGCTTTCACTCCTTGCGAGTTATCCTGTCAAACTGCCTGTTCTTACCCAACTGCCCACTGGAGAAATGTCAGCCCCGTAGGACAGGCCTTCTCCTTCCTGGTCACCCCCAACTCCCCAGCATCGGCAGCAGCTCCTGGCTGCTGCATTGTGGGTCGACATCAACGTGTCGGGGAGTGGGGCATTAAATGGCGTGAGCTTCCGTTTACTGAGCACCTACTATGGGCTTGGGGCCATGCTTCTCCCTTCACGTCATCACCACAATGTACAGTTATTACTGAGGAGCCCTGGTGGTGCAGTGGTTACGCGCTTGACCGCTAACCAAAAGGTCAGCAGTTCAAACCCACCAGTGAGGCTTAAAAAGAAGTGGCAGTCTGCTTCCATAAAGATTCACTGTCAGATGCTGCTGACTCCAAGTCATAGCGACCCTGTGTACAACAGAAAGGAACGCTGCCTGGTTAGCATACCATCCTCATAATCCTTGCTACACTTGAGCCCATCAACGCAACCTGTCACTCCATCTTGTTGCGGTGCTAAGATTACGGCCTTGGAAACCCTGCAGGGCAATTCTCCTCTGCCCTACAGGGTCGTGATGAGTCAGAATTGACTTGAGGGCAATGGGTTCTATACTGCCTCCACAGAGAAAGAAACCAGGGATCCGAGAGCTTAATATCTAGCTCCCAAACTTTGAGACGTTTGGACAACACCAGGAGAGAGAAAAACGCCTCCCTCTTTGCTATCAGGCATGTCCGGGGGACAGGCTGGTGGCAAGTGTCGCTGCTTAATGATACATATGGGTGTTTAGGAGCTGGTTTTAAACCATCCTATGAACGTAACTGTCAATGGCTATACACACCATTCTCACATGCAGTTCTTCCACGTCACCCCCGTTTAACTGAGCAAGTGTTTTTGCTTAGACAGCATGATTAACTGTTGAAACCCCGAGGTACAACCCCTAAGTGAATCGTGAATTATTCTTTCCTGAGTATTGACAGGAGTGGCCCTTCCTGGATTAGGGCTGCCCAGGCGACGTCGCTCACAAACACTTCACCACCCACAGTCACAGAGCCCCCGGACACACAGGTTGTTTAGAATGTGCGAGGGAATGGTGAGCGAGCCCTGCTTTCAAAGGAGGCTCGAGTCTGTGTGATACTAAGGCTACAGGTTAGAGGAGCTGTAGAAACAAAGGAAGATCATAAAAACCACAATCCACGCTAAGCCCCTGCCAGTTGGAAATGGAGGACTCGTCAATCCTGGACACGGCAGGGTCGCCTGGAGTCTCTGCTTCCCAATGATGGGGGCGTGCTGAGCTGGGGAAGGCACTGGGCACTGGGACAAACACCAGTGTCCACTGCCTTCCAAGGGCCAAGCAAGTCCACATGAACATGGAAGCCAGTGCAGCGCACTTGACGGGCAGCGGGTGGTGCTGCCCTTGAAATGTGAGGCACTTTCACCGGCTGCAGAAAAGCACCTCGTCCTATGGAAGGGGCCTCCTGTGTACAGCGATGAAGGGGATCAAACCAAGCCAAACGTACTGCCATCAAGTCGGACCCGACTCATAGCTACCCCTCCTTGGGTTTCCGAGGCGGTATCACTATGGAAGTAGATTGCCCAACCTTCTTGCTGGGGAGCGGCTGGTGGGTTTGAACCGGCGGCCTTCCGGTTTGCAGTCAAGTGCCTGAGGCACTGCACCACCAGAGCGCCTAGGAAGGGGAAAGTAGGGCAGAAATGACCAGCTGAGTCCTAATCTGCATGGAAAGAAAAATCACTTAGCAAAGGCTCCTTCTCCTTCAAGGAGGCTCTGAGGTACGTTTGGCCCATCAACTCCTGGAGGGCAGAGAGCCCCTTCCCACCGCACCGTGGAGCCGACACTGGCCTGAGCTCAGCGCCCTGCGAAGATGGTGCCGAGTCCACGCCTACCTTTGCCCACTGCTCATCCGACTGCCTTCTGAGTATGTGCTTTGGGTGATGATTTTAATTTTGTGCAACTTATTTAAATCAAAGTTCCTGTATGAAACCAGAAACTGGCAGTAAGAGAACAAAAGTAATCATGTTGATCTGATCCGAAGGAACAAAAATGAGAGCTGAACTCGACTTAAGCAAAAACCGACTCAAGTTGCAAAACGGGTTAAAGCGTTAGGTGTCCTCTAGCTCAGGCCCCCTCGGAAATGTTGGGCAGTGAAGGGAGCTTGTTGCTGCTGTTGTTGTGTGCCGTGGAGTCAGACCCGACTCGTAGCGACCCACCTTGGGTGTCTGAGGCAGTACTGCTATGGAAGTAGATTGCCCAACCTTCCTTCCGAGGAGGGCTGGCTGGTGGGTTCGAACTGCCAGTCTTCTGGGCAGCAGCCAAATAGCAGTCTCCAAGATCTGCACTCGACCGCCAAGCAACCTCCTCAGCTAGCCCTTCCCTGGACGGCATGTGAGACAGGAAAGCCATCTAGGTCAGACTGTCGGGCAGCTGCCAGAAGCCAGGTTCCTGGGTTCGGAACAGACTGCCACGGAGAGGTAGGCAGAGGTGAGGAGAGCTCAGGAGGCCAGGCAAGGCCTGTGCAAAAGGCCAACAACAACTTCCAAGGAGTGCCAGAGCACTTGGACTCTCCTTAGGCCCCAAAGGTTGAGTTTACCCAAAAGACAACAGGTGGCTTATAGTGCACAGTTCAGATCTGGGCCAGGGAACAGATGCCACGGAACCTCTTTATTCTCAATCTACAAGAGATCAATCAGATGGCTGCCTTCAGCACCCCCCCCCCACCCGTCTCAGTGATCACCTGGGTTCCCCATTCTCCTTACCGGGTAGTCTTTCCCTCGCATCAGTGTCTTGCTCGTACCCTACTCACGGGGCCGTATAGGAGGCTGGTGGCCTCAAGCCCAGCAGACATGACCTGTAAACAGACTTACCCAGAAGAGACACGCAGGGATGACTCATGGTGTCCCAGAACTATTCCCCGTGATTTGTTCAGCAGACACAGCCTCACCTGTTGGATTGAAACACTCTCTGAGTGACCAGAAGATCTGCAAACACCTTCCAGGACCACGTTTTTGTGTAGCGCGCACTAAACCAGGTGCTTGTGTGTGCAGGAAACACAGGCTGCAAGACTGGGCCCACGGTCAAGGTCCGAGATCCCCCCAGCAACAAGCAGAGAACTGCGCATGAAGCCCAGGGCTGGAGCCGGCGCTGTGGGGCCAGGGTGCGGAATCAAGGCGCCATGTGGGTCTACAAACACACTGTTACTAGAAGTGGCAGAATCCTCAAGGGCTCAGAGAGGGTGTTGCATAGGAAAAAGCCCGCTTCGCACGGGGTATTTGTGTCTCTGCGTGTCTTTTTCTGTGCGCGTGGGTGGGAGTACATCTGTTTCTGGCTTTCCCGCTTTTCCTCTCTCCCTTGGCCTGGGCACCTGTCTCGCTGTATTTCGGTTTTGAGCTTCTTCCCTTTCTATAAAAAGCCGGAAGGTAGACCAGAAGGGGACTTTGTGGTCTGTCGTACTTAACTGAGGGAGAGTTTACATTCTCTTTTCCAGAGAAAACACGTGGCATCTTACTAAAAATCAAAATACAGTGCAAGCAGTGCTGCACTTAGGTTACAACACCCTGAAAAGAAAAGAGGCTAAATGGGGCACAGGCATGCTATGCAAATCCCGGGGCATCAAGAAATCCAGGCAGGTGAGGGCAAGGGCCGATAAAAGGGTTAGAAACCCGTGCACCGGGTCTGGGCTGGGGCTAAGAAATCTGCATTGGCCAACAAGCACGCGAGGGGATTCTGACCTGGAAGGGGCTCATTCCCACTGGGCCTGTCCAGAATCCCAGGACTCCCTGCTCTCCCTAGTTCTCATCAAGTCCACCCTGGCTCAAGAGCCCGCCTACACCCCTGACTTGCTGCTCAAAGCCAGGCTTCTGGGAAGGGAATGTACACTCTCCCACGTCTTTCAAGGGGCCCCTCACCCACAGAAGGCGGGAAATTACTGCTCAGTATAGCAACAGTAACATTTTTGGGAACAACCTGTGCCAGGCACTGTGCAAGCTGCTTCTACTTAAGAAGATGGGGGGATGGGAGGAGCTAGCAGTAGTCGTGGGGGGAGGGGCTCCAGCAATCCCATTTGAAATGCTCGGTAAAGGGCAATTGTAGAGACCAGGTTGAAAAAAAAATGTTTCACTGGCTGAGAGCGGAGGGACCAGTGGCTAGGCCAGGCCAAGGCTGGCTGGAGGGCTTCAGCTGGAACAGGGTGGGACCTCCGGGAAAAGGGCTAGGATGGGGGGAGTGCTGAAACGGGCCGTCTGCTTGGGGCGGCAGGGGAATGGGGGGGAAGACATGCAATTAGTCACCCAAATATAGACCGAAAAAGGCGGTCAAGGAGCTTAAGGGGAGGCACGTTGGAGCTGGGAAGGGTGGGCGACAGGAAAAGCGCTCTCCGCACAGCCCCTGAGCTCGGTTCACCAAGCACGAGTTCTCCGCTCCACACACAGCTCTCAGCCTCCAGGCCACCCCCCAGCGTCCCCACCGAGCTCAGGCTCGGCCCCTCCCCCCAGACCCTCCCCGGTCGCCCCTCCCCCTCGGCCTCCATTGCGCTTGGGGTATGGGGGGGGTCCCTTTCCTTACATTTTGATTGACTCTCGCTCCCCAGCGTCCCCCATGGAAAAGCTTGGGCCCCGGCACGTCCCCGACTCCCGCTCCTACCACCGCCCCCCGCGAAAAAGCCTTCGGGCCTCGCCGCCCAGGCTGGCAGTCCCCAGGACCGAGCAGAAGCTACCCGCGGGCACTCTCCCCGTCGGATCCCCAGGCCGCGGCAGACGCTCCGACAGCCCGCGTACCTCCCCGCCTCTCACACGCGCTCCCGTCGCGGCCCGCACGCCCCGTGCTCACCCCGGCCTGCACGTTCTGCCAGGCTGCACCCGCTCGGGCGGCTCGCGTCCTTCCCCGCCTCTCACACGCGCTCCTCCTGCTGCCCGCACGCCCCGCGGCCACACGGTCACCCCTCCGCAAGGCGCGGCCCAGGGCCGTCGGCCGAGCGAAGGCGCGGCCCAGCAGGCCCGGCGTGGCAGGAAGCACCCGGAGCTACAGAGCTGCAGCCAGCCCAGCAGCCCCGGCGCGTTTCCGGAGCCTCGAGCTCCGCCGGGGGTAAAGGGGGAGCGAGGCCCCGCCCCCGCCCCGCCCTGCCTGCGGGCCCTGATTGGCCAGGATGGAGGGCGGGCGGGCGGAGGCGGGGCCGCTGGGCGGAGCGAGGAGGAGGGTCTGGCGGGGGGCCGTGGGGGAGCAGAGCGCGGGCCGGAAGCTGGGGAGGAAGCGTGGGAGGACATAATGAATGTACAAGTGAATGAATGAGTGAGCCCACGGCCCCGCACACGAAGTAGAGAACGAATGACTTGGAAAGAACCCCTCTGCTCTGGGTGTGTTGGGGGGCGCGAGATCTGAGGGCGATGAAAGCCAGCCCTCTACCTGAGTTTTCAAAGCCCTCACTGATTCCCCAAAGGCTTTGTGGCCTTCGCTGTGCCAGGCCCATAGCTGCTCTCGGGGGACTCTCTCGAGCTCCTGAGAGGAAGTGTGTGTGTGTGTGTGTGTGTGTGTGTGCACGCACATGTGTGAGGACCAGCCACCAACTAGCAAACACACGAGTTCAGTTCAAAACAGCAGGATCTCTGGGTTCTGAGGGTGCAGCAACAGATGTCAGTCAGTTCCGGAAGGAATCCATCACTCAACAATCTGAGTCGACCCCCACCTCCTTGAGGCCCGTAACACAGCAGGACAAGCGTGAAACACTCAGGAACAGGGACAACTGCGGGGCAAACCCATGGGGACTGCAGAGAGGGGCCTTAGGGCCTGTGGCTGAGAGGAGATTATAATGACAAGGACTTAGTCCTGTGAAGGTGGTTGAAGGTAGGAGAGGTGTCCTCATGCAAAAGGAACACTGAATGCCAATGCCCTGGAAAATGCAGCTGGTCAGGGCCCAGGAGACGGCGGTTGCCAGGAGCAAAGCCACCGAAAGGACTCCAAGTGATACAGTCTTTTTTTTATTTTATTTTACATTTTTATCAATAAACATTTAATGCTTTATTAGTGATAATAGTTATAACCAACTCCTTAAAAATCCTTGTAATTACCCATTAGATGCTAACAAGTTGTCATATTTTCCCCACATTTTACAAAAACATTAAAACATACAGGAAAACGGAAAGAACTGTCCCCATGTAGCAGCCAGTATCCCTACGCTTCATAATATGGACCTCTTCATTTTACTGATCCATTTCAAGTAAGTTCAGTACACTTCACATCTGAACACTCAAGCACATTTTTGCTCCTTAACACTTTCAAGAGGTCTTCTGCAGTTGATTTGCCCAGTGCAACACCACAGTTGATCTCTAGATTGCTGCTTCCATGGGTACTGATTGCGGATCTGACTAAAATGAATGCCCTGACAACTTCAGTCTTTTCTCCATTTATCCTAAAGTTGCTTATTGGTCCAGTTGTGACGATTTTTGTTTTATGATGAACCAATGTTTTAAGATAAAAATGAAGACTGAATTTGTCAGAGATTTCATTGTACTTGGATCCACAATCAACGCTCATGGAAGCAGCAGTCAGGACATCAGACGATGTATTGCACTGGGCAAAACTACAAAAAGACTTCTTTAAAGTGCTGAAGAGCAAAGATGTTTCCTTGAAGACTAAAGTGCGCCTGACTCAAGCCATGGTATTTTCAATCGCCTCATATGCGTGTGAAAGCTGGACAATGAATAAGGAAGACTGAATAAGAGTTGATGCTTTGAGTTGTAGCGCTGGTTAAGAATACTGAAAATACCACGGACTGCCAGAAAAACTAACAAATCTGTCCTGTTAGAAGGGCAGCCGGAATGCTCCTTGGAAGTGAGAATGGCCAGAGTTCATCTCACCTACTTTGGTCATGTTGTCCGAAGGGACCAGTTACTGGAAAAGGATATCGTGTTTTGTAAAGTGGATGGTCAGCGAAAAAGGGGAAGGCCTTCAACAAGATGGATTGACATGGTGGCTGCAACCATGGGCTCAAGCACAGCAAGGGCTATGAGGCTGGTGCCGGACCGGGCGGGGTTTGGTTCTGTTGGACACTATGAGTCGGAATTGACTCGACAGCACCTAACAACAACAACATGGACATTCTTGTACAAGTTTTTGTGTGGCTACTATATGCTACTATATAGGACATGGAACAAGGGATATCATTGCTGATGTCAGATGGAGCTTGGCTCAAAGCAAATACCAGAAATATGTTTCCTTGTGTTTTATAGACTATGCAAAAGCATTTGGTTGTGTGGATCATGACAAATTGTGGATAACCTTGAGAAGAATGGCAATTCCAGAACACTTGATTGTACTCATGAGGAACCTGTACATTGACCAGGAGGCTGTCATTCACACAGAACAAGGGGACACTGCATGGTTTAAAATCAAGAAGGGAGTGCGTCAGGGTT